CTGATGTCATGGTACGATGTAGCCAACAATTTTTCCAGGAAAATGAACCCACTTCATCACTCCTCCCATTTGCTGCATGAGTGAAACAACGCAAATACTGTTAAGACACTCAAAATAAATTAATGTAATAACCATTTGTGGGCGATATTTTACATCCCGTTCGAATGGGAACGGGTATTTTTGTCATAAGCTGTTAGTTGTATGGTACAATCGTCAAGAAGAGTACCGTGAAGATTGTGATTAGAGAAGGGAGCGAATCGGATTTGGGAAACTACGTAAGACTGCGAGGGAAGTTTATATTATGAATGATGGTGACCACCGAGTACCATTTCACTCAGGTATATGCAGACGAAATTTATAAAGGCTCATTGGGCTGTTACTTTATTCCATTTAGAACCAATTAAACCACTTGCGTTTCGGCGGTGAATGTTTTTAAAACTTCAAGTGCTTTAAGTTTGTGCAACTAAAATTTCGCTAATGATGGTGACCATCGAGTACCATTTCACTCAGGTGTATGCAGACGAAATTTACAAAGGCTCATTGGGCTTTTGCTTCATTCCATTTAGAACTAATTAAACCACTTGCGTTTCTGCGGTGAATGTTTTTAAACCTTCAAGTACTTTAAGTTTGTGCAACTAAAATTTCGCTAAGTTCTGTCAAATATTGAAACTACAGCTTTCAAAATTACATGAATTCTGTTGATGCAAAAAAATTTTCTGCCATCATTCGCAAATTGATCATTGATGAATTTCGTTAGGATGCTGTCATGGATCCTTTGTATCATGTCGCCCGGTCAGCTTTGATGGCTGCTGCCCTTTTTACAAAAATATTGGTTTATTCTATGCAGCGCAGAAAAGCTTGGAAATCTGTATGGTTTTGAATGCAAATCGTTTTTTTGTAAGGACAAAATATACCACAGTAATGCAATTCCTAACAAAATCCTTCAGGTTCTTGTACCAGCCACATGTCATCGGGCTAATAACCGAAACCCTTATGACAAAAACGCGTTTGAATGAGAGCATTTAGTGTCCGAGGTGGAAAAACGTTGGACACAACCACTATCTTTATGGTCTTGAAGCAGCTACAGGATATCGGTTGAGCGCTGGAAGAGTGATGTAAATTGCCTGACTGAAAAGCAGTAGACTTCATATATAATCCTACTGCTGATCAGCGAGTCGTGGTGGTCGGCCGTGAACATGAGGTTTCCGGGATTGAATCTCTTTCGAAGACTTATACGAAATACTCAAATAATTCAACGACGAGTAACTGGCCTCAGACATCTAATGGCGAGTAAAAGGAGTGACGATGATTCACAAAAATGTATAAACTGGGGCAAAATAATCATTCCAAAACTTTCTGACTTCAAACAGCTCGTTCATTGTAACTTGTTGGAAGAATGCAATGTCGAATATGTATTATTTTTTACAATAGATGTCGAAAGGTTTACTTGATTGACGGTATACCAAATAGTACACTTTATGAATGATTTTATGCACGCTTCTTGTACAGCGTCTTCTTCAACTCGCCTTGTTCTATATGCACTCCGCGGTTGGACGTTATTTTGTGCAACATTTATATATTTACATTTCAAATGCAGACCACTTTTCAACCCGCCCTCCAAGAAAGAAAGCGCGAAAACACAGGACCTTTCAGTATCACGACTATACATATCCACAGTGTCATCAATAATCGTGCAGAAACTGTATATGGACCTACAAAAAAGCACCACCCTGCAGAAATCTCTAAAATAAATTCCCGTTTTTTCACGTTGATATGCACGCTTGGTTTCACATATGTTACACAACCTTGTCAAGTGCATCAAAAATTTGGATATGGTTCTGCGGGGTAAATTAACATCTTTTGCACTGCGGGGGCGGAAACTAACACCAAACTTGTTCTTACGCCCGTGCAACCTATCACTGAGGACTTAAGGTTGTGGAATCTTACAGTGATTAGCATTGGTCTGTCTCGCAGTAAAGCCACGTTGCTACAAAGTATCCAACATGTTTTCAAAATCCATAGGTGGAAATCAAAGTGACCGTATGCGATTGAAGTTTTCTGGCTTTTTCCTACCATTTTCGGCGCCTGAATCTTTGGGTTTGAAACTTCCCCTTTGCCTCTGATGACAGGTTTTGTTGATAATTTGGTTGCCGTCATTGATTTTAGATTTCCCGCTATGAGAAAAAGTTTGCTTCTGGCTCTTTTGGGACATAGTGCTTGTCACGGAACTATCACAAGTGAGAACAACGATTGACCAAACCGTGAAATCCTAACGGCACTAAACGAACGGGCCAATCTTCTTGATATCACCTGGAATGCAATATAATTGCGTTATTGCAGTCCAACATTGTAGTTTGGGAATGCTAGACGGACACAAGTGATCATAGTTGGCTGTGGACACTGGTTATTACCGAATGTAATACAATCCTTCCGAAAAATTGAAATTGCGACCTTGCATGTTGTCGCCTTGATACCCAATATGATTGCTAACATTGCTAGAGCTTTTTCCATTGGTAAACATCCCGCTATGTTACGTTAGAATTTGGCTGGTGGTAAATGTATTCCGATCTGAGCAAAGAGGTTGAGTTCTCCTCGGGACACCACATCTTTGCTAATGTAAATAATTTTGGCGATTGTATTCTCTTCTAGGTATGCTCCAATCAGAGAAGTGCTTGAGCAATGCATTGTGCTGCCTTTCAACAAAGTGAGTAGTTACAACTCGCAATAAAAGTTAACCCCAATTACAACCAGACTACGTTCATGTTCAGTGCAAGGAAATACTCAGTTGTCATAAATGTGCTTGGTTCATCAGGACCAACGTGAGATCACACCGGTGGTTATGATTCTCACATATGAGTATTTAGTGGTAATTACTACGAGTTGGGCTGTAGGGTACAGGGTGTGGAACGTCGGATTATTAGTGATGAAAAAGAGCCGAGTATTATAAACTTTAATGAATGGCTGATGGGCGCTCAAATGCAAGGTGCTCAATATGCAAGGATAAAGCCTGCACCTCTGCAAAAGCAATGGATATCTTATCGTGGTAAAATCTTGATATCGGTAGGTTTAAGTTATGGTCCATTTCGTATCGACTAGACTGTGGGTTGCCATACTACTCTCAATTAAGTAAAAGAAACATGTAGGTTTGAGATGATTGGTACGAGCACAGCTGTTCGGTAACATGATTTCTCTTAGGGACGAAGTACTAGGAAGTTGGCGGGTGCTTGATCCATGATGAATGGTTACCCCAGGTAGCTCGTGCCCATCCAGTAGGAGATTAAAGATCATGTGCTTTGATAGTATGTCTCGTTCATTACCCTGAGGTATAGGAAGAAACATTTTCGGGCCAATCATCAAATTACACCAGTCTTGTTCAAACTGGCTGGATGATTGCCTGGTTGCATTCAATGCGCCTAAAGTTGAACCATAAATTTTTGTCTACGTGTGAGTAATCCACGTAGTATAACCGTTTCACTGAGGTTTCCAAAAACACACTTGACAACAGAAAACGCTGAAATGAGAGTAGCATGCGCAAATAAAAGATCAATGAGGTGTGCGCAGATAAGCATATCAAAGCGGTTTCATATTTCAGAGACCGAATTCAACATTGTGTCTTTGGAAAATTTGTTTTCAGGGAGCGTCTGTTGGGCACACATTTAGAGCAGGATTATGATGAGTGGAACCAGAATTGTTAATTGACTAATTTTCCTTGGATGAAAATGTAGGTCAAACACATAATTTCAGCAGTTGTGTATACACAACCATCTCTGATAGTAAAAATTTACCAGAACTGTTTAGCTGATAGCCGTCAACCAATTTAATTTCTTGCAAATAGCGGTTACATTTTTACGTCATCCGCTGCATACCGAATGATCGCTTTGTCACAAGCTAAGAAATAGCGTGTGCCGAGAACAATCATTCATCAAAGCATTTCAAGAATGCGCAACATGCGTTTGTTTAGACCTTTTTCCCTCTAAACTTATTAATTGATGATTCACCACGCACGACAATCAGGATTGAAAAATGAAATAATGGCATTCACACTATCGTAAAAAAAGAACTCTACAAAGTCGCAAGATTATGGATAAGATATTTTCCGTAGGTGGTAAACTTCGGTAATGCAAGTTTGGCACTGTATACACAAGTCAATCAAATGGGAGTTTTTGGCCCGCTCTCTGCCGATATAATATCAGATCACAATGAGGAAAATAAAATACCTTGTCTCCTATGCTTATTGGAGCTACCCAGGTAGAAGCAATGGCCACACGACACTCTGGTCAATCGGGCTTCACTTTTGATCGTAAGCCAAGGCGTTGAACAGTTATAAACAGTGTAGAAATATTAAATTCGCCATTTGACCAGTTTTATCCGCTGAAGAAATTCCACTCACAACGAATAAGCAGTCGGAATAAAGAGGGGTGTTTCGCAGATTCGGATTTTTGTTTTCTCCAATGCTTAGTTTACAATCATCTAGTTGGAAATAATGTACCTGTGTGGCATGTAAATTACTGAAAGTTTTGTAGTCAACTCTGCGCATACAGTGCTCTTATGCTTTGCATTATGTGATTAACCCAACTATTCATGTAAACTGCTGGTTCAGTAATTGTCACACGCCTCGCACGTCTTTCTTACATGTGTATGCCTAGCACACTTCCGGGTTATTGGTTGACCACCCAAATGGAGAATGCTATATTGATTCAACGACTGAAGTGTTTTACGCGGAGAAGCAAATCCATTCAAGAAGACGTCTTGTTATTACGCATAACAGTAGCTCACGTGACTGGCGCACAGTTCTGCTGTATATGCGCGTGCGTGTGTGTGTGCGTTCACATGGAGCGACGTTATTGCACAACAAGGAAGCTCAGAGCAAAACTAGGCGTACCCATTCATGTCTGTTTTCACCGTATATCTCACCTATCCAGTCGTGCACGAAGGACGTGGGACGTGCAGGACAGGCGAAAACTGTCCAACAAATAAGAAAACTGAATTAGTTTTGCGTTCGCGCTTCGTTGCACAGGTGTAATTACTTCATTTTGACATTGCTCCATAATCTGAATTGTCTAATTGGAGCTGCAGGTCGCAAATACTCCATTCAATTGAATCAACTTTGACAACTGTTGGTTGAAAATATTTTGTGGATTAAAATTTTCTGCATCTTTGCACCGGTGGTATGGCCGAAAGCGGGGAACTTGGTGATCCCTCCAATGGGTATGAGAAAGAAGGACATGTGCTCAGCGACGATTTGGATACTGGAACGCACATACTGATAGGTGCTCGACACATCCAGGATGAGTCTCCCCAAAATAATGAAAACGAAAGTGATCTGACTCACGAGATGCCAGGCAGCACGGAAAGCCCAGACTTGTCAAACATGGAACAACAAGATGATAATAGCGGTAACCCAATACCAGCGGAATCGCCAAAAGATAGTGAGACGGAGAACTTACGGCAATATTCTGTAACAACGGGAATGCCCCCCACTGAGGAAGATGTAGATAGTCGTGGGGAAGTGGCGCCAAATAGAGAGGAACCTGAGGAAATCGCTCTTGAGAACAGTAGTGCATACAACTATGAGTCTCCGGCAAGCCAAAGTTTTAACGTAGGTTTAATATCGACAGGTGATATAACCGCCAATCCAGAAGCGGGGCACTCACAAACTGACCTGCTTAGGACAGAATCACAACAGCCTGTGACGGACACGAATTTAATGACAACCACAGACAATGCTGTCATAAGTGAACAGGCATCTGCTTATCCCCTGCCTACGGAAGAAAAGAGTCGGGTCAGCTTCAGAGCACACTCGGGGTCAGAAGACTCCATCGATACGAAACTTACAGATACGGGGGTTAGTATTACATTTCCGGAATCCTCGTTTACGACAACTTACGAGTTAAATGTGGCTTCGGAGTCGTTTGCAGCAGAAGAGGACCAAAGTGGGCTTAAAATAGTTGATGATAACGCCGACGGATCTGAGGGCGTCGATGCTGCACAAACACGGGATGAAGCAAATTCGACAACAACTACATCACAGTTCACTAAGGACGTAGTTCAGGGCGACGACGGAGAGGATGATCAGTCCGATGAAGCAAATAGGGCTAACTACAACACTGCCGTTTCAGTAAACACCGCCACTCAGGAAACAAATGAGGGGGAGCAAGTTTACGGCGGCGATCGGTTACAGGAAAGTCCCAATGATAGTACATCAGTGTCGATATTTGAAAATTCCCCCGAAGAGACCGTTGTCGAAATTAGTGAGCACACTACTCCTGAAGCTTTTACTGACGGGCGTGTCTCCAGTGATTTTCAGCAACTTGAAACCGAAACGCCATTTGTACCGGAACAAGCAGTTGATAGTTCTGTTGAAATGGTCAGCAAATTAAATGAGGTTCCCAAAGCCTTGCCAGCAGAAGCACAGGAATTGCAGACAAATAATCAGGAACGGGATCCAGTAGAGGCTCAAGATACAGATGAAAAAAACTCAACAGTAATGGAACCAGATTTAGTCCCTGAGGGTGGCAGCGAGGTCAACCTAGACAACGCCCCAGAACTCGGTGAAATCGCTGCGGATGCACTCACTATGAACCCTGATTTGGCAAATCTTCAGTCTGAGAATGAAATAAACTTAACCGAACAGAATTTTGGCGAAATGCATGCAGCGCCTGATTTCGAGCACGGAGTGGAACGTGAAGAAACGTTTGTGGATGAGAGTCAAACACTAATACACATCATTTCCGAGTCTGACAGTGAACAGCTTGAACAAGAACCTACAGAACCAATTTCAGCAGATTCAATAATAAGAAACTGTGCAACTGAATATTTTTCAAAAGACATTACAGCCGATGTTTTGGAGCTAACTGGAGAACCACACACCGAACGAATACAAGAAAGTGTCGTGCAAGATTATGATACACACTGTGCGCAAATGTCAGAAGTGACTGTATCATCTTATGTACAAGACAGTGAAAAGAAATCTGAAAAATGGGATACCAACCGAGTATCTGATATCGAGGACGACGAGGTAATTTTTGAATCTGCAACCAATCGAGTGCAAGACGGGATAAGTGAGGAAATGTACTCGTTCGAACAAAGCAAACCTGAAACAACACCCGATCAGTCAAGCCCAGAATATCTGAATAAAAACTTTGGAGTACTGGAATCTGATGACAACTTCACAGGAACAGAAGCTGAAGCACCTACTGAGCGTCATTCTGAGATACTTCGTGAAAGCTCTGTTCAGCTGGAAGAGATTTCCGAAATGACGTTGCCTTGCCCAGTTCAACTTTCCATCGAGGAACCAGATCACTTATACAACATCTCGGTTCCCAATAGCAGAGATGAATTATCCGTTGAGCCTAAAATCCACGAGGATCAAGGAGAAACAAGTGATATTGATGAATGGCAACCGATCGAAAAGGATGTATCTACTGAACTACCCAGTCAAGATGTGTGTACGGAACCAACTAATGGAAAGGAAACATCTGCATTGCCTGAACCCATCCGTGATAATAAAGTAGTAGCAAAGGATTTACATGGAGAGGTAAATCTTGAAGGAATTATCCCCAAACATATTCGCCTTTCTGAAAAATCTTTGAATGGTGCATCTGCTGTTGTGAAGAGCATACCAGGGCTACACGATAGTCGCATTTCTGACTCAAATGATTGGGACGCAAGTTCTAGCCTATTTGAGGCACACGAAGTCGGCCACCGAACTGTGACACAAGAATTTGCGTTACGGAAAGAGATGGAAGTGGATAGAAGTGTTCAAGGGGAAAACAAAATAAGGAAAATATATACTGATATCAGCGATGCAGCTTTGACAACGGGCTTGAATGGGTATGCATCCAGTTTTGGGGAAGAAGCAAATAAAGAAAACCTCCTGAAGGAACATCAATCACGTGAACTTGATAAGCGACCGCTCCTTGAACGTCAACAACGCAGCAGGACTCTTGATCCCCGCATCATGAGTGATTGGGCTGCCGGGTACAGCGATTCCAAACGGCGTGCTGCAACGCTCGGTAGAAATGGATCTCGGAAACGACCTAGACTGCAGCCCAAGCCAGCCCCAAACGACGACTATCTATTTCCCGATTCCGTTACTCCTTCCAAGGTGGACAAGCACTTGAGTACGCGAAGTTTATCCGAAGGGTTACCCGAGGGAACATATGATGTTCCGTATATTGATGATGATGCATTCCTTCCGAGGCAGCTTCGTGATCCGGCTAATCAAAACGGCAATATCGATGACGATAGTGAGTACAGCTCTGATGGGGCTGCTTGGTACTGGCAACCTCCAAACTATTATCAGATCCATCTGGATCCGAACCACATCGCAGACACGAATGAGTGCGCCACAACCCCAAGTAAGTGTAATTTGTTTGCATACTCTAATTTTGTCTGATACGACCGAACAGTTGTTGCAATATCACAAAGTACAGTGAACACAGTAAATTTTGCACTCCATAGCTTGGCCTTGAAAAGGAGTGCGCTGTCAACGGGGCGTTTAAATGAAAGTCGACGGTCAAGGAAATTACTGCCTTTCGGGGATTGTTTCACTTATATTCATCGTTTGAATAATCGGAGACTTGTGGCAGTCAAACACCCTCACTGGTTCAGACGAGTACTACTGACTTGGTACTAATGATTTTCGCGCTGCAAGCCTATGAGCGTGATGTATCGGGCCTTATTGACTATTTTGTTTCAGGGCGAAAATTTCCTCAGTTGTTAATCTATTTGTAGGTGAGTATTGTAGAACGATCTTGTGTTCCAGCCATTGCGACGGTGGGATTTAAAAGCCTCGTGAGCTGCTCTTTAGATCAAATTTTTCCACTATGTACGAGCTACTTTCCAAAATCATCTTCAATAACCCATTAACTCCTAAAATTACAGTGCGGTGATGACGTCGTCCCATAGGTGTCTTATACTAAGACGCAAGATGTTATAAACTATGCCAGAGGAGACTAACGGAAGCAGTTTTTCAGGGAAATCACCGATCCAAAAACTACTTCATAATAAGTGAATGTTGGTAGGAGATATAAACTGCTCGTTAACCGTTGTTTTCATAATTGGATAGATCTAGTGTGAAAATAAAACGACTGCATAAACGAACAGCGCATGGACACCAAGAGGAAGCAAACTGACGAATAACGATGTTATAACCACTTTACAACCGATTACACCTGATCACTTTCTCTGACTACAAGTCCCACTTTCAAAACTAGCTGACTTCCGCCCTGACACTCAGTGGTCCTCTAGCGACATGCTAGCAGTATGCATAATATACACGTTTCCTTGAAAACATGTCATGAGTGCAGGCTGTGGGGGATTGAAAAATTTCGTAAGACACGAAAAACGATTTGACTTTGATTTTGGGGACGCAGATGAGTTAGAGTGGGTTTGCATAGGTTTAATAATGTCAATGTCGATGTCACCCGATCTTTAACCCTTCCGTCTTACGCTCGAAACTATTTCATTCTTAAACATCTTGCGTATAAAATAAGCAGCATGCAAATGATGCGCGTTATAACTTTTTGGAACAGATGTAAAGTGTAAGATATCCAGAAAAATGTATATTATTCGTTCATGCTGCGGTTTTCTCAAGGCCAAACGAAATTTATTTTCCTAAAAGGCATAGGAACGCACAGAAAGTTTTACGGAGCAATGAAGACGGGCTGACCCATTGCTCGGAGGATTAGAAGATCAAAAAAGTTATGGGAGCTTTTGATTGAATTCCCATTTTACACCATACCAGAAGCCTTAAGGTATTTAGAACATTTCGAGAACTAAAGAGGAGGCAAACATGCATGGTTGGTTACCAACACAAATCCATAGCTGTTTAATTTTAATTGTTTGATTCACTGTTATTATTAGAGCGATTATCCACAGTTTGACTACAAGGTTTGCACTGTAATACTCGTATTTTCAATGTTCAGCTGTAGCACCCTTTCGGTGCCTAGCTGCCATGCCACCCGAAGGAAGCATGAGGGCTGGGATACTGCCAGGTTGCCCAAGACTAGACAGGGGAAGTCAAGAGGCGGATTCGCACCACGGACCTTCCAGTCAGTAAATTCGCGCTGTAACCACTTAGGCCATCTCGCCATCAATGTAGAATAAGTTGTACAGGCTGCTGCCTGAACGTGTTGACAAAAGACGTTTTATTGGCCCAGAAATTACAAGCGGTAGAAGAATTTACCCTTTCTGGAACCCGCTGGTACCTCTTGGACGTGAGCCCAAAGTACATGTCAAGGCATAGTGGCGATAGATGTAGTTATGTAATGTTGTCACAGTGTGGGTTCTGCTGCAAAACAATGGCTGTGTACAAATGGGTCGAAAGGGGATATTGTCAATTACGACAATATGTATACATATATCTTAACAATCGTAAGGTCTTCCATAGATGCTCGTACTTCAAGTATGGTTCACGAAAAATGTAGAAAAGGCTGTCTGAAACTAATTCACTTTTTATAGACTTATGGTTTTAAGAGGATCCCCAAAAAGAGTTCATATGCCCCAGAATTCCATGAGTAATGTAGCGAAACATTTCATATTGCACCACATGAACAGTTGCACCACTGGACTTTGGGACCTTTGTACAGTTCCGGCAATTCATGATTGGAACTAAAGTAGTGAAATATTCGTCCAGCTTAAAGTTAATGAATGTTCACTTATGAACATTTATGGCAGCCAGCTGAGTCTTTATAATTGTTTCACGCAATGCGTTAAGAATCTTCTACCTACTGAGACTTACCAGGGTTAAATTTGTCTGGCTTTCTCTGCGAAAACGGAGTTGATTTTTAGTTCAGCGCTTTCCATCACTGGATAGATAATCAGTTTACGTGCCCAAAATTGGCAATATTTCTGGTCTCAATTAGCACGGGAGAAATTCTCTTCTACATAGGTTGACCCCTTTGTTATGGAAATGTTGATAGAAAATAACCCGAGCTGCTAAGACTACCCTTTTAGTCGGATAACTTCACGGAAGTACCATTCTAAGGACTGCTATCAGAATGATAGGCATAGATCTGCAGAAGATCAAAGGTGCGCTGCAGAAATTCGTTTCATCACTAGTTGTTGGTGGAACAAGAAATCATCATCGGTGCAAGTCTTTACTTGTGAGTCTTTGTCCGTTCCTGAGGTAACAACCCCTGGCGTTCTGGTCACATATTGTCAGTGCGGTGGAAGATGCTAGTCAGGCAGTATTAGATGCCATGAAACATGGCCTAAAGTGCGAATGATGGTAAAAATATCCAGTAGCTGCAGCTAAACTGAGACGGTGTGCATTGAAATCGCAGCTCTTACACAGAATTTTGAATAGCCATTATGGTTCACTTATTACGGACAAGAATATGTGAGTGAAAATGAAATATAGGCGCTCTAAGGAAACATGTTACCGCTTGTATTTTTACGTTTATCCGATGCTGTGGCAAAAAACTTCCTTGTCCTGTTTCGATCTACATGTAAACAAGGCAACCGAAACATTTATTTTGAAAGCGCTTGCGGTCGGCTTAGTATAGTGGTATCTGTCACCCACACTCTGTTAACTCAAAAGAACATTTATTTTGAAAGCGCTTGCGGTCCGCTTAGTATAGTGGCATCTGTCACCCACACTCTGTTAACTCAAAATATCTAGTATAAGTTGATCTGTTTACACAAACCAACTGTTGGTTACCGATAGCTGACGTTATGTGAAGCCAAAATACGCGTTACATGGAAACCTAGATAAATTCACTGTGGTAAAATATGGGTTTGAGTTTCTAAAGGGCCTTCCGATGGTTTCATGAAACAATGAATGAAATCCACTACATCTGTTCTCGATGATGGTGAGGTGACACACTAATGGGTTATGTCAAGTGGAATGAGGCTCTATGAGAAATTCACCTGGGGCATATTTTATCTCGAGATGTCTCTTAGAAAAGACTATAGTCTAAACATTCCCTCAGCTTCAAGGCTTGTTGCAGTTTTGTGGTTGCCTTGGAGCATATCAGCTGAAGTTGACGACTTATTCTATGCATCTAAAAGCCTTGGGCTATGTCTGACCATGGTATGTTTAGGACACAATCCGCAGCATACACGCTCATGCCATTTTACTGCTGTTGGCGTTTCAATCCGCAACAGCTTTCAGTTAAAGCACTAATCAACTTAATAGGTGTTTGACAACACCAGTTAGGTGGGTAGTGGAGAAGAAATGCCCGTCCAGATGTGTAACTTACAGTCAATTTAAACCCTTCTCCTTGAAAAGGGCTTTGATGCACTTGGTTCAGCTCCCATTGCTGTACTTTTTTAAATTTGAACAAATGCACACACAACTCAGTCAATTTGGTGTTGATACGATAAAATATGTTTTGTTCTGCATAGTGAGAGTATTTCACTGTGGCTCCCTTTCGGTCTAGTGAGAAGCTACCGCAAATTATGTTCCCTAGGACTGGCTTTAATCTCACCTCTTACCATGACAAATAATTGGTCTCTCGATGTGTTCCAGAGACGGATAAACGCATATGCAGTAACATACGGCTTGCGCTTGTGATTCTGAAAGGTCAGTAGCATACTTTAGCTCTTGAGGTTCATGGAATATTTCTATACAGAATTTTAGTATTAAACAGGTATCGCAGTGTACTGTGTAAAATATTGGATGAACCAAAAGCAAAGTTTAGCAGATGAGGGCGACCGTTTCCTGACAACTAGGGCAGATGGACCCGAAATCAAAACATTTGCAAGGCGAAGTAGAATGGCATCAAATTCCGTATAATGGAACATAATTTACTTTATTATTAGCCAGTTGCAGCTAGAGTGCGACGTTAAACTTCCATCCTGACGGTACGCTTGTTTAATTTCATCAGAAATTCCAATCTCTATAGGCCTCCTGGTCTGTCTTTCCCCCAGTTGTTAAACTTAGAAACTGAACTTATTAATTTGCTTTGGATTCTACCAGGACAGTATTTTAGTGACTAACCATCACTTTAGATTATTTCCAGTCTTAAAATAATTGTTAGCTTGGGTCGGTTCATTGACTATCGACGTATTCAGTAAGTTTGAGGACCGGTTTGTTAATCACACAGTTTTAAATTCCAAGCAAACTACCTGACCTTAACGAATTACTTCCTCCGGATTGAAGTAGAACTCATCATTTTGTCTGGAAAGTGTAATTTTCGTGGGAAATTTCCTATGGGAAGAATCATTCTGCTTTATTTTTAAACAAACAAAAAGCCAAATGGAAACCTTTATCAGATTTTTGTCTTTGTACTTAAATGTTTTGGGATGCATACTATTTGGTTCCACAAAATCCTTGATTGTTTGAACTCACGCTTGGTCGATTTCCGAGGAGACGTAGCAGCTCAAGTAATGCGCATGACGTCTGAAAACTAAG